CAGAACAACGAACACAGACAAAACAGTAAAAATTGAGAATGAACAGAAAGACTAAAATAAGAAAAAATAGTAAAGAGAGTAGAGAGTAAGTTAGTAGAAGAAATAGAGAATATAGATGAGATAGAGTAAAAGATAAGAGAGAGATAGAGAGAGAGAGATTAGATAGATAGATAGATAGAATAATAGATAGATAGATAGAAGAGAGAGAAGAGAAGATATAGTATAATAAGAGATGAAGAGATAAAATAGAACTAAAGAGAGAAGATAAGTAAGAATATGTATCCTATGAGTATTGAGTACAGAGATATGAGAATTAGGGAATTGAATAGAGAAGAGAAGATGATAGAAGAGAGATGAATAGAGATGATTAAGAGAGAGAAGATAGAGAGAGAAGAGAATATAGAATAGGAAGAGAGATAAGAAGATAGAATTAGAATAGATAGATATAAGATAGAATAATAGGAATAGATAGATAGATTAGAGAGAGAGAGTAATAGAGAGGAGATAGATAGAAGAGAAGAAAATTACTCGTTAATGAATTAAATCAATGTGACAGGAGATATTGATAATCATTATTGTTAGTTTACGGGTCAATATTTAATGACGATGTTAGTATGTTATTAATTTTAATTACTATAATATGATATATAAGTATATATTAATAGCACTATGCATATATTCTCATCTGGTGCATACTAATAACAATACATAAACTCATATCTAAAATTTATTAGAGTATTAAGTATATTAATAATTGTATAAAATAATCATCATTATAATATCATTAATCAATTAATTATCATTACTTTATCTGTCATTAATAGTGGTTGTAATGTAATTTTTATTCATTCTAATTATTATTAGTTCAATACTATTAATTATTCTCACAAAGTAGATATAATAATCACTAATTTAATTAAACGGAACAGCTGACTTACCACCAGCGTCGCAATACCTAACAATACTAATATAAAATGTAATGACTATTGCCATATGTAATAGATATCCCACACTGGGTATATTACCAAACTAATAAGTAAAGGTTTCATATATACCTATGAACGTTATAGATAATATCTTGTTGCAATTTATTATTTATAAGATTATCATGATGTCTATATCGTAATATATAAATATTATTATTATAGTGTGCTGGACACAGAATAGTTTCTTAATATAAAATTTAATATGTTATTATATAATATCTATCTTAATTCTATCTATCTATCTAAATCTATCATTAATCTATTCTATTTAATAATAAATATATAATGTATATGATGTGTGTGTGGAGTGTGTGTTGATGTATGTAGGGAGTGTGATAGTTGTGAGTGGTGTGTGTAGTAGCGGATGGGTGTGTGTGTGGGTGAGGGATGTGTGTGGAGGCGTAAGTGTGTGGGTGAGTTGAGAAGGGTGAAATATGAGTATGGCTGATGAGATTGTGGTTAAGGATTGTCAATAACAGTATATAAGATCATTCAAATTAAAGCACAAAAGTGAGGAACTGGTTGATAATATAAGCAGTTGATATCCTATTGCGGTGTTTATTAGTGCCAACACTTATAACTACCGCACACATTCAACCACATTTAACGGATTGTATAAAAATTATAGACTTCTGGTAAATGTAAATTACATTAAACTATTGACAGTGTTGCCGATAGCCTCAGGGTTTCTCCACTGAAGCCAGGTTGTATTGCTGAAACAGTCATGAAATGAATCATTCTCGCATGCAAGTTCTTAATAGAATTAACTTGCAAAGTCCATTTCTACCTGCGGACTTCAGAGATCAAGCATCAGAACATGTTTTGTAAACTTCAATGTCCGAATTTGTATTTGTTAGAAAGATTAAGTGCTACATATCAACTATCTTTGCAGAAAAAAGTAAAACGAAAAAAATTTAGATTATAGAGCATCTAGCACACATATTGTACCTTATGTGAATATATAACACGGTAGATTTAATGATAGTTAAAATAGTTTTTTGGTTTTCTAAAAGTGTACCTTTTCATTTGTTTTTGATTATATAGAATGCATGTTGAAATTTTATCCGTAGTCTTTTCATTGTTCCTTATGACTGAATATATTACAGTCTAAATACTAATAAAACACTCACAACTAATAAAATAAATCGCTATGCACTTGGAAATTTATTGACAAATAAGGTATGTGGCTTTTCCACCGAAGTGTTTTGCGGACGTCCTCATCCGAGGAGAAGGATTCGCGAAAAGTCGAAGGATTCACGGGAAGTCGAAGTGACGGGGGATGGGTGCAGGCCTCTCGAAGGACTCACGTGAGTCAGGGACGCGTGCTCTGGGGGCTGAGTAGACGGGTCTGGGAGCCTCCGGGACTAGACTGAGTCATAGCGAGCCTCGCCCTCGTAGCTGACGTCGGCAACGTATCCGTGTCGTCCGTCCACGAACGTACCTCCACGGTCTGCAGGCGGCCGTCGGGAAGGTGCACGTAGTAGGATCCCTGAGTGTTGTCGTATCGCGAGCCTCTTGGTGTCCGAAATCGTTGCCGGAGTCGTCGTGGTCGACGGCCCACTGGAAGTCGTACTTGGCCTCAGTGGACTCAAAGGACTCGAAGGATTCTCTGGAAGCTCTTGGATGGTCATAAATTACTTTTGTTATGCACAACCATATGATTACAATTATTCATTTTATAAACGTGTATTTCCAGTAAACTTGTCTCCTTTTTTCATTATGCATGTCCATACGCATTACATACGCACACATATAAAACACATACTGTATTTGTATGAATGTATGGACATACAAGGTCTTCTGTGTGTACATGGGTGCGCTTGAATGCGGTTGCGGACATATGTGTAAGTTGTAAGTACTGTTATACCCTACATGTGAAAGATGTGAATAGGTCACTTTAGACAACAAATAAACTTGGCGGCTTACGCTGGGAACGCCATAGGAAAAGCTCGGCTTGGCGGCGGCGACGGCAGCAAAGGCCAGAACGAGGATGATCTGAAATGAGGATCAGCAATAGGTGTAATATGTGTAGCAATTAGGTAGATAATAAAAAATATGCCCATTATTCATAATAATCCTTACCATAATAATAATGATGATGATAATCTCAGTAAATAAATGACCCAGATAGCATGGGTTCTTCACCTGGGCTTCAGAAGGATCAGATAAAATTGTCATTATTATTATTTATTATCTTATTATATATTATTTATATATATATTATTATTATTATTATTATATATTATTAATATTTTTTTAGAAAAGGCGTTATTTTTTCAGTGACTCCTTACTTTCAAGTTTAATAATACTCTGTATCTCATATATGTATGAGGTAATTAATATTCAACAAATAAAGTACCCTATAAGCACTGCATGCAAAGATATTTCTAGGGAAGGGGGTCCATAACTTCCATCAGATTCGTAAGGGAGTACCTGACTATATAAAGGTCTAGAAACACTGAAAAAGAGAGAAAAAGATACTAAGATATTGAATAAAATAAAATATAAGATACAAATAGGTTTCAATTTCATATCCGTAACAATACTAGGCAACCTGTTCAATGCAGATATAGCTATTGACAATATTATGCTGGCGATGAACCCTGAGTTTCTCCACTGAAACAGACCTGATTTCGTCTGGCATGCAAGTTCATAATACAGACTTGCAAAATTCCATCTCTATCTGATGCTACAAAGTTCAGGTCAGCTGTTAATTGGCTAACCTTAGGGCGAGCGGCGGCAAGGTCAGCGCTACGCCAGTTAACTTTTTTAGAGCAGTTCCTGAAATAGTTGTGACATTTCACACTACTTCTTAGCCCTTTCAGAGTTAAGATTTCAAATTTCAGACCGTGTTTTTTGTCATTTTCCTGCCCGACTTTATATCTGTTACAAAATGAAGACCATTATTAAACAAATGTGTTCGTCTTGTAAAAGAATTAAAACGCAAAACGGGTTTAAATGATAGAAGAACGTGACACTCTGACTTTGCAATTTCTTAATATTGTTAACCTTAAAATATGTTTTTCTTAATCTTAGGTTTTTAGATGTGGAATAGCTTTCATGAAAAGTTTGAATATGTATAGGGCAGGATTTTGATTATACATACATATATATATATATATATATATATATATATATATATATATATATATATATATATATATATATATATATATATATATATATATATATATATATATATATATATATATATATATATATATATATATATATATATATATATATATATTAAGATAAGACTATAAAAACGTCATTCCTTAACCACTCCTTCCTATTTTTTCAATCTTTGTAAAAAATACGTGTGCATAAATTAAAGTACAAGGCAGCATCTAAGCTTCTTTCCTGGACATATTATAAAGCGAAGGAATATCATATCGAGCTCTACCTAAGAATATAATACATTGCATATTGAGGAGGTTCCCACAAATTTTCCCGCATTTCATATGCATTTCCATGTTACAAAAACGTCTAAAAAACAAATTCAACTCTTGAAAGTCTGAACTCTGTATATTCAGTAGTCCAAATGAAAATGGATCTGACTAACGAAAGACTGTCGAAAAGAAATTGATTTAGTCGACAGGTTCTCTAAAGACGGTTGAAAAGAAAATTTGATGAGCGTGTTTATATATATTCTTTAGAAACCCAAGTGTAAATAATTATGTTAATCAGGTTCTCTAATATTGACAAAATTTAATTAGCTAACTGTGTTTCAGGAAACTTTTGAGTGTCCCATGAGCATTAAATCTAAGAAGATATACTGTGAGATTTCCCTTGAAAATGTTTTTCATTTGAGCTCAGTGTTTAATTTATTGTAATTTGTGAATGGTATGGAATGATGTAGGTATGTTATAAAGTTTGGTTGCCATTTGAATCATAAGTGAACTATGTAATGTTTACTGATTTTTTCCTCTTTTCTTTATAAGCTGCATTTGGCCAGATATGCACACTGTATGTCTTGCGCAGAGAGGAAATAACCTGAATGATATATCTATGGTTGCTCATTATGATTTATTTGACACATTCACGCTAATAAATACATTCGCTACAGTGGAAATTTAGATAGTCATAGGATGTGGATTTTCAACCGAAGTGTCTGCGGACGTCCTCATCCGAGTGGAAGGACTCGAAGGACTCGCGGGAGTCGAAGCCGCGGAACTCGAAGGATTCGCGGGAGTCGAAGTGACGAGACCTGACGGGGATGGGTGCGGGCCTCTCGAGGGACTCACGTGAGTCAGGGACGCGTGCTCTGGGGGCTGAGTAGACGGGTCTGGGGGCTGAGTAGACGGGTCTGCGAGCCTCCCGGACTCGACTGAGTCATAGCGAGCCTCGCCCTCGTAGCTGACGTCGGCTACGTATCCGTTGTCGCCGTCCACGACGTACCTCACGGTCTGCAGGCGGCCGTCGGGGAGGTGCACGTAGTAGGATCCCTGAGTGTTGTCGTTATCGCGAGCCTCCTGGTGTCCGAAGTCGTTGCCGGAGTCGTCGTGGTCGACGGCCCACTGGAAGTCGTACTTGGCCTCAGTGGACTCGAAGGACTCGAAGGATTCCCTGGATGCTACCTGCAAGGGGATGGTGCACTTTATTTTACAGAATAAGATTTGGTGCACTTTTAAGAGAATCAGTTCTTGATGTACAGGGGTCGATCTTTTTACTCAATTACATGTGCAAGTGTTGCGGATATGCATGCACAGCCCACACAAATATATTCGCATAATGTTAAGTTCCCGTCATGAGAACTATGAACAAGGAAACCTCACACATCAAAAGGGCATCGGAAACCTACCCTGGGGGCGCCGTAGGAGAAGCTCGGCCTGTCGGCGGCGGCGACGGCGGCGAAGGCCAGCACGAGGATGATCTGCAGAAAGGAGCAGTGATGAAAAGTCGTTTGTTAAAGCTTTGTTAAATACTTCATGTAATTGTGAACACAATAAGTCATCGAAACTAATATGACTGCGAAATAATCTATACGAGTATTATTATCTGTATATATACCGTTATTATTTATATTAATAATTTATTATTACTGTTATCATTAGTGTTTTAGCATAATTGTAAATACGCAAAGAAGCACACAGAATCTACTTGTCTCTCTTCTCTTGCATTTCCTAACTCTCGTAAAACTAGATCCTCGACCAGTGTTAGGGAGCTCACCTTGGTGTTCATGGCGGCTGCGTTGTCAGTCGGAGCTGTGTCTTCGCCTCGCTCGCTGCCTGTTATATACGGCCAGAATCTGGCCTGGTTTTTGTTGATTTTTTTTTTTTTTCGTTTGAATGAAATTTTTCTCGTGTCCCGAGTAAGGGAATCTTTTGCAATATGGTGCCAATTGCAGCTTGCTCGTATGCTGTTGCAGGCTCCACTTAATTTTTTTTCATGTGTGATCTCTATAGGAGTATATCCATAAAAAACTAAACCTACACCCATTCCTGTACTTCCCGGGCAGAATCATCGAAGTATGTTCAAAATCTACGCATGGAAAACTTTTTTTTTTCTTTATCCCAAAAGGAGAAAGAATTCGAATTTATTCACTTATTACCCTACTGAGCGCCTAATGCTTAATGAGTTTCTTTATCTACATCATAGCTTTTGGAATAATACCGGTCAAGAAAACAAATGATTACTTATATGAATTGTTCATATTAAAGACTAATTATTATTATCGTTAAATCCATTGACATATAGAACCTATTGATATACTATATAATATAATTTCTTACGTAATTATTACTTCACTTCAATTCACCTTATGTCATTTCCTTATCACGTCGTATTATGATTGATATCATCCTCTTTATCACTCATTTAGCCGCAATGACCCACTGACACCAGGTCTCGACCCACAGATGGGTGGGACCTGTTCGCTGAAGGACCCAGGGTTGGTATATTCCAGCAAGAAGCAGTTCTCATATTCCTGCCGTATATAATATTGGTATAATTTTCTTTGTGTGCTTTTCATACTTCTTAAATGTATTACGGTTATGAGTCTGTGCATATTTATTTTGTCAATCTCTCTCTCTCCATATATATATTTTGTCTGTGTATGTATGCCTGTTTGTGTGTGCGTGTGCGTGTGTATTTGTATGTGTATGTGTTTGTGTGTGTGCGTGTGGTGTGTTGCGTGTTTGTGTGTGTGTGTGTGCGCGCGTGTGTGCGTGTGTGTGTGTGTGTGTGTGTGTGTGTGTGTGTGTGTGTGTGTGTGTGTGTGTGTGTGTGTGTGTGTGTGTGTGTGTGTGTGTGTGTGTGTGTAAGTGCCATCGGATATATTGTTTGGAGATAAGGTATAACCACTAATTCACAGAGAGGCTGTTTGCCTTTGCATGCGTTCAGCCCCTTTTCCATGGCTGTTGGCAGTATAATCGATGGCAACCTTAAAGAAGGACACTCACTTATACCGTGTGTTTGGCTATTACGAATGCAGCGGATGAGAACTCTCGGTTTCTGTGATATATTACAAGGTAGACTGAATTGCTGAAACAGTCATGAAAACAAGTTCGTCTAGCATGCAAGTTCATAATAATACTGGCTTGCAAAAGTCCATCTCTATCAGATGCTACAAAGTCCAGGTCACTTGCGGATTGGCTAACCGTAGGGGCGGCGGCGACAAGGTCAGGACTTCGTGAACTAACCCGTACTTTTTAGAACAGTTCCTGAAGAAGCGGTGGCGTTTGGCACTACTCTTTAGCCTTTTCAGATTTCACTTTTCAAGCTTCAGATCGTGCCTTGGTCCGTCCGAATTTTTATTTGTTACAGGGTGAGCAACAGCACTGATGCAATATGTGTTTGTTAAGAAGAAAAACATGAACCATGTTTAGATTATGGAAGTCTGTGACGATCTGACTTAGCTTACATTATCAGTTTATCATTAACCTATAAAATGAGCAATATATCAATTTAAAGGTCGGATATCTATTAGAAGTACTCTAAATAAATTAACAGAAATTCATGTGGTAATCTTTGGTGTTGTGTGAAACAGACCCACTACACATGTATTTGACAATATAATAGCCATGCTATGCAAAACCTACTTTAAAGTGTTTCCACATCTTCCAAGTGTAACTTTATCAGTCATTCTATAATCAGTCCTTTCTTTTTTCGTTTATCTATGTAAGTGCATGAAATTATGAACAAGACTACACACGAATATCTTTGCTGGATATGCCATAAAGAGAAGAAATTGCATGTCAGGGTATACTGAAAATATCACCCACTTTGGGCCCAGGGCTCTCCTTCGTGGAAAATCAATTGGCAAAGATTTATAGACGATGTTCTTTCCTGTAAGACTCTCCGTGGTGGTCAAGACTGAGGAAAGGAAAACAATTCCGATCAACAGTCTCAAATGACTCTTCACACACACACACACACACACACACACACACACACACACACACACACACACACACACACACACACACACACACACACACCACACACACACACACACACACACACACACACAATGTGTTTTTTAAACGGTAAGGGATTAGGCAAACGTTTGATTGCATTTAGATTTGCAACTCAAGTGAGAATCTACCGAACTGCTCTATGAACAAAACTGTTATTGATTCATAATTATTCGCCACATATACTATGTATTATATTTCATGTAGAACGAGGAAACTAAGTTAAATATGGATTACGCATTGTCATAAACTTGAAACATTCACGCTAATATAACCATTTACTACACTGATGAGGACGTCCCCATCTGAGTAGAAAAACTCACGAGACAGGGATGGCCCGTGGAGGATGCGCGGTCTAGGGGCTGAGTAGGATGGCTCGGAAGATTCCCTTGGCTCAGCTGAGACACAGCGAGACTCACCCTCGTACTGAACGGGCTTAAAACGTTCATCTGTTATTCACTGGGCTAAGCCATTCGGCAAATCCGGAAAACACCTTTCTGTTTCTTTCTTTATCAGTATATATGCATATGAATATGCGTATATATATATATATATATATATATATATATATATATATATATATATATATATATATATATATATATATATATATATATATATTACATACATACATAAAACACACACACACACACACACAAACACAACACACACACACACACAACACACACACACACACACACACACACACACACACACACACACACACACACACACACACACACACACACACACAACACACACACACACACACACACACACACACACACACACACACACACACACACACACACACACACACACACACACACACACACACACATATATATATATATATATATATATATATATATATATATAACACACTTATATACATACATACATATATATACATGAGTGTGTGTGTATATATGTATGTATCTAATACTAAGCTATTGTATTGTGAAGGCCATGGTGATGGGGAAAAAAAATATATAATACATACACATACACACACAAACGCACGCACACACACACACACACACACACACACACACACACACACACACACACACACACACACACACACACACACACACACACACACACACACACACACACACACACACACACACACACACACATATATATATATATATATAATATATATATATATATATGTGTGTGTGTGTGTGTGTGTGTGTGTGTGTGTGTGTGTGTGTGTGTGTGTGTATGTGTGTGTGCGTGCTTGTGAAGTTATGTCTGTACTTAAATAAAAAGATGGACATAAAGATATATGTATTTGAGTATATATAATATACGTGTGTTTGTTTGTGTGCAAAAAATTACATATATGTATATACACAAATACATATATCTTCATCGATGTCCATCTTTTTATTTATATTCTTATATACGTAAATACATGTATACACACATACACCTTTATAAGTAAATAAATATATATAACCGAGTTTCCTTCACAATGCATAAGCTTAGCATTAAATAAGTCTACTTTCGCCAACTATGCGTATATTTACTCAGAAGACAAAGTAATTGCTAAGGTATTGATCGAGTTAAAATACAATTAAATGCAAAGATATTCTCTTCCAAGCAAGATCATCTGAGATGGACGCAAGAAAGAGAACACTATATTTTTATCCTAAGGAAAATCATTTATAGTAAGAGACAAAGCAGTTCTGTGGAAAAAATTGCAATAGACATTTTCTCTTATTTGATATAAGCAGATATATGTTCGTTGTCGTATTTCAAAAGGTCTAAAATAATACTAATGAAAAAGTCTTAACCTTTCGATAATATTTCCTTTTGTTAGCAAACAATAGGAGTTAGTGATAATGAGTTTGGGTTACTTAAACTTGAAAGGAAATTAAGTATATAATTATTTTTGCTTAACTTCATTTATTTTACACTTTCACACTAATAAATACATTCGCAGCTTTTAAATCTAGGTCATTGGCATATCATCTTTTAACCGAAGTGTCTGCGGACGTCCTCATCCGAGTGAAGACTCGCGCGGGAGTCGAGGCCGCGGAACTCGAAGGATTCGCGGGAGTCGAAGTGACGAGACCTGACGGGGATGGGTGCGGGCCTCTCGAGGGACTCACGTGAGTCAGGGACGCGTGCTCTGGGGGCTGAGTAGACGGGTCTGGGGGCTGAGTAGACGGGTCTGCGAGCCTCCCGGGACTCGACGGAGTCATAGCGAGCCTCGCCCTCGTAGCTGACGTCGGCTACGTATCCGTTGTCGCCGTCCACGACGTAACCTTCTGCAGGCGGCCGTCGGGAGTGCACGTAGTAGGATCCCTGAGTGTTGTCGTTATCGCGAGCCTCCTGGTGTCCGAAGTCGTTGCCGGAGTCGTCGTGGTCGACGGCCCACTGGAAGTCGTACTTGCCTCTGGACTCGAAGGACTCGAAGGATTCCCTGATGCTACTGCATGGTGATAGAAGAAAATATATATTTTATGTTTACAGTGTATATATGTGCATTTATATAAATGTATGTGTATACACACTATACACATGCATAGACGAGAAAGCATGTGTTTATGCATGTATGTATACATGTGTGTATGTTTATATATGCATTGGGGTGTATGCACTGCCCACGTAGCACACACACATGTATGCATTACATTATATACAAGCACGGTGCTAAGCGCAGCTGATCAGTCTAAGGATAGAACACTACAGCAAACCGAGCCTTACCCTGGGGCGCCATAGGAGA